ACTGGAAGAAAAGGTGTTTACCCGTCGCAGATACACAGTGATGGAAAACAAAGAAATAATGATCTGTTACTACAGATCAAGTCCAACAAGAAGAGGATATCTAAAACGAATGCACCAGTTCTGGAAAGAACAACATCCAGAATCAGAAATAACAGAACAGAGACTAGCAGATCAACGCTGATTTATAACACGAAATAAAGTATTCACAGAAACAGAATTGGACGAACTGCAAAGATTTACCCAGGGCAAAGAAATCAAAGCCTTACCAGAAGTAATTCAGAATGTAGAGGCAAACCAGGGGGAGTTGGCAGTGAAGGAATCCAGCAGAGATATACAACTGTTCTCATTTGGAAACCAGGCACCTCTTCCTCAGGAAGAACAAAACCCTCTAACTAAAGAAATAAAAGAATTGAAACAAAGAATAATTGAGCATCTAGAACAGCACAAAAACAACAGAATAAGGCTGCCTGCATTGAAGCTTGTTCCAAAGAAACAGCTAGCACAAGCATTAAAAGATGCAAATACTGCAATAGCAAGTATAAGCACCAATTCACTGCAAGAAACAAACCAACTAATGTACAGCACAGCTGCAGTTATAACAGAATACCTGGGATGTAAAATCAACAAAAAAGAAAAACAAACAAACAGTGCACCACAAAAATGGAAGGTTAGACTAGAAAATAAGATCAGCAAGTTAAGATCACATGCAAGCAAGCTAGAACAGATGAAAGAAAAGAAGCTGAAGAACAAGAAGACCAAAGAATACCTAATCAAGAAATACCACTTAGAAACAAGGAAGATCAAGGAAGCACTGGAAATAATAAAGCAACAAATAACAGCTATAGCCAGGAAAATCAGTAGATATGAAGCTCGAATTGCAAACTATAGGCAGAACCTCCAATTTCAATCCAATCAGAAACGTTTCTACCAATCCATCAATGGAGAAACTGCAAGGAATCAGTCAGTACCTGACAAGGAAGAAACAGTGCAGTTCTGGAAGCAGATATGGGATAACCCAAAGAAATACAACAAGGATGCGGCTTGGTTAAAAGAGGTGGATGCAAATAAAACAGAAGTTGAAATGAAAGAACTAGTAATAACAACAAAAATGGTAGAAAAAAGAGCAAAGAAAATCAAAAATTGGTCAGCACCAGGTGAAGATGAACTGCATGGGTTTTGGTTGAAACATCTAACTGTTATACACCCACTCATTGCCAAGCAATTCAACAATATACTACAAGGAGGAGAAATTGAAAAGTGGCTAACAACTGGGAAAACCTACCTAATAATGAAAAATCCAGCAAAAGGGGCAACACCAGGTAACTACAGGCCAATTACCTGCTTACCAACAACTTTCAAATTACTAACTGGTGTGGTAGCTGATGCAGTACAACAGCATCTAGTTGAAAACAATCTCTTTCCACCTGAGCAGAAAGGAAACCGCCCCAATAGCAGAGGAACAAAAGATCAACTCCTAATAGACAAAATGATCTTGGAAAACTGCAAGAGAAGGAAGACCAACCTGAATGTGGCATGGATTGACTACAAAAAGGCATTTGACTCTCTGCCACATGATTGGATAATAAAGTGCCTAGAAATAACAGGAGTCAGTAGAAACATCAGAAAATTTGTGCAAAATCGATGGCACAATGGAAGACACAGTTGCAGATCAATGGTGAGAAGCTGGAAGAGGTTAATATCAAGAGAGGAATATTTCAAGGAGATTCATTATCACCATTAGTATTTGTTATTGCACTGTTTCCTCTGTCAACAATACTGAATAACTTAGGACATGGTTATCAAACATCAAAAACATCTGCCAGACTATCCCACCTCCTTTATATGCATGATCTGAAGCTGTATGGAAAAACATCATCTGAAATAGAATCGCTGCTCAACACTGTCCGTATATATAGCCAAGATATTGTAATGGAGTTTGGCTTGGACAAATGTGCCACACTTACTATCAAACAAGGAAAAATAGTGAAAACTGAAGGAATCAAGATGCCCCACGAAAATAACATTAAGAGTCTGGATGAGGAAGAGTACTACAAATACTTGGGTATCCTTCAAGCTGACAACATCAAGCACACTGAAGTCAAGAAAAAGATTAGAGGTGAATACATCAAGAGAGTGAAGAAGATCTTAAAATCCAAACTCAATGGAGGAAATACCATAAAGGCAATCAACACCTGGGCAATCCCAGTCATTAGGTACACAGCTGGAATAGTGGACTGGAATCAAGCAGAACTAAAAGCAATGGATAGGCAGACCAGAAAAATAATGACAATGAATCATGCCCTTCATCCACGCAGTGACATTGATAGACTTTATCTACCAAGGCAAATAGGTGGGCGTGGAATGCTACAAGTACATCAGATGGTTGAAGAAGAAAAAATGCTTTGGAAGAATATCTGAAAAACAATGATGAAGATGCACTGAAATTAGTATATCAGGAAGGCTTACTGACTACTGGAGAGACCAAACTGGCCTACAAGAAAGACCAAATGAAGAACAGAATAGAGGCATGGGAAGACAAAGCACTACATGGCCAATACATGAAAAACATAGCTGGGAAAGCAGATAACAATAAAACCTGGCAATGGCTAAGAGCAGGAAAATTGAAGAAAGAGACCGAGGGACTAATTCTGGCTGCACAAGACCAAGCCTTAAGGACAAATGCATACAAAGTCAAAATTGAGAAGACAGCAACAGACAGTAAGTGCCGACTATGCAAAGAAGCTGAAGAAACAGTGGACCACTTGGTAAGCTGTTGCAAGAAGATTGCACAGACTGATTACAAGCAGCGGCATGACAAAGTAGCAACAATGGTGCATTGGAAGATCTGCAAAAAATTATCATTTGCCTGTAAGCAAAAACTGGTGGGATCATAAAATAGAGAAAGTCATAGAAAATGATAAAATTAAACTGCTCTGGGACTTCAGAATTCAAACAGACAAGCACTGCAACATAACACCCCAGACTTAACAATTGTCGATAAGAAAGACAAAAAGTCTGGATAGTGGATGTGGCAGTGCCTGGAGACAGCAGAATAGACGAGAAAGAACTGGAGAAGATAACAAAATACAAAGACCTACAAATAGAAATAGAAAGACTGTGGCAAAAGCAAGCAAGGGTAGTACCAATAGTCATAGGCGCCTTGGGTGCAATCCCAAAACAACTGGAGCATCACTTGAACACCATTGGCATTGACAAATTCGTTATTAGTCAATTGCAAAAGGCAGCCTTACTAGGAACTGCTTCCATCCTGCGACGATATCTGTAATACCATCAAACATCCACATCTGCCTATCCCAGGTCCTGGGTAAGGACTCGATAGGTAGACAAAATGCCAAATCCAGTCTGAACATATGGCTGACTGTGCGATGATCGATAATAATAATAATAGTAAAGTTGGAAGGGACCTTGGAGGTCATCTAGTCCAACCCCCTGCTCAGGCAGGAAACCCTACACCATTTCGGACAAATGGCTGTCCAGTCTCTTCTTAAAAACTTCCAGTGTTGGAGCATTTACTGCTTCTGGAGGCAGGTTGTTCCACTGATTAATTGTTCTCACTGTCAGGAAGTTTCTCCTTAGTTCTAGGGTGCTTCTCTCCTTGATGAGTTTCCACCCGTTGCTTCTTGTCCTGCCTTCAGGTGCTTTGGAAAATAGCTTAAGTCCCTCTTCTTTATGGCAGCCCCTGAGATATTGGAATACTGCTATCATGTCCCCCCTTGTCCTTCTCTTCGTTAAACTAGACATACCCAATTCTCGCAACCGTTCCTTATATGTTTTAGCCTCCAGTCCCCTAATCATCTTTGTTGCTCTTCTCTGTACGCTTTCTAGAGTCTCAACATCTTTTTTACATCGTGGTGACCAAAACTGGATGCAGTATTCCAAGTGTGGCCTTACCAAGGCATTGTAAAGTGGTATTAATACTTCACGTGATCTTGATTCTATCCCTCTGTTAATGCAGCCCAGCACTGTGTTGGCTTTTTTGGCAGCTGCAGCACACTGCTGGCTCATATTTAAGTGATTGTCTACTAGGACTCCGAGATCCCTCTCACAGTTACTACTATCGAGCAAGGTACCCCCTATACTATACCTGTACATTTGGTTTTTGTTGCCTAAATGTAGAACCTTACTTTTTTCACTATTGAATTTCATTTTGTTAGATAGAGCCCAGTGTTCAAGTCTGTCCAGGTCCTCCTATATCTTAAGCCTGTCTTCTGGAGTGTTGGCTATTCCTGCCAGCTTGGTGTCATCCGCAAATTTGATGAGTTCCCCATCTATCCCCTTGTCCAAATCATTGATGAAGATGTTGAAAAGCACTGGGCCTAGAACAGAGCGCTGGGGCACCCCACTACACACTTCCCTCCATGTAGATGCAGTTCCATTGAGGACCACACACTGAGTACGGCCGGTCAGCCACTATGAATCCATGTGATGGTGATGCTGTCTAACCCACATTTTTCTATCTTATCGAGTAGTAGGTTGTGATCTACTTTATCAAATGCCTTACTGAAGTCCAAGTAAATTATATCCACAACATGCCTCTGATCCATTAATTTTGTCACTTGGTCAAAGAATGCAATAAGGTTTATCTGGCATGATCTGTTTTGACAAACCCATGTTGGCTTTTAGTAATGACTTTGTTTGCCTCTAGGTGTACAGTAGCGGAAGAATACTAATTTGTATTGGATCTGAAGGCTCTTGAGACGTGGACATAGTATGGACTATGGGAAGTGGGAAAAGTTTCCATTCTAAAGTAACACTCTCCACACATATTCTGGTTTGCAGTCAAGATAACAAGCCCCTTATATAATTTGTGATAAATTATACTGTAATTTAATGAAATCCCTTGGTTTGTGATAAATTCAACAAACATGTGGAAATGAATATAAAAATGTTTCTCGGCATCCATCTGAATAAAGCACCTTAACACGGCAGAGTGTTAAGCATGCGAGCAATTCAATAAAACTTCTTTCTCTTCTTTTCAGAATAGATGCATTCAGTGAAGACTGAACACAACAGAGAGCGTATTTACAGCAACCATTTCTCCCTTACTTCTTCACAGAGGAGTAGAGAATCTTTATTGCTTCTTAAAGGATGAATTGAAACCTGAAGCTCAGACTCAAGAAATGGAAACCGATGCTCCTTATTGTGGTTATGAACAGAAAGCAAGAGTGATCTTAATTCACGCATGGACCTCTTTTGATGTACATTTTAATAACACAGCAGAAACCTAAAGTTAATTGTCTCTGAGAGATAATTTCATTGTTTCCAACAATGAAAAGCATAATTTCTGTATAAGAAATCTTTGTGTATCTGTGTTTCTGTGTGTAGTTTTGTGTGTGTGCGTGTGTGCATGCATGTGGGTGGGTGGGTGCACTGTATGAAGAGTGAGAGAGGTACATGTCCACTTCGTGGTTTGTATTTATAAGATACTACACTGATGGATATAGATGAATATTAACTTGTGGAACAAGCTAAATGTTTGGAAATAATTCTCTCCAAGATTCTGGTTTTAATTGCTCAGTTAATGTTTACAGTGGAATAGATATGGTCTTCTATAAGTATAGAAAGCTGCCTTTCAATTAGGCAGATTCTATGTCTGACTGTCTGCCTACTTACCTACTTGCCAACCTATCATCTCAGTAATAATTGAGATGACACAGGAAGCCATAATAGTGATTTTTGCCTGGGTTGAGTATGTTGTGCAAACTCAGAACTCTGAGTTTGTGGACCTTAGTGCAATGCTTGAACTGCAAAGGGCTTTAAAAAAAAAAACAACATTGTGCCAGTACTGTCTTTAGCAATTTGCACCCATTCTAGGATTTCAGAAAAAAAAACTTTGTGGCACTGTCATGGGGTTTACAGCACAATTGCTTGACCCAGAACCCTTCCTTCCTTTCTATTACTTTAGAGTCCTAAAAAAAATCACCCCAAAAGGTTCAGGATTGTCTCAGATTAGAAATAATGTCATCCCAGAGCTGCAACTCGTAATCCAATCCCATTTCTCATGTCTGCAAAGTAAGACGTTTGTCTTGTATGCTATATTCAGTTTTAATGTGCCATGGTACTAAACAGTCGCCCCCCCTCCCAAATAACGGAATGGTGCTCATTATTATAAAAAAAAGCATTGCTTTTTTTTTAATGGTACAAGTAGGTTGCACAGGCAGATGCCTGGTTTAACCAAGCCGGCGGGCATAGAGCTGTCTGGGGTTGTTAAAATGTCTTTGAGAAGATGGTTTCTGACTGTGGTTTTCCAGGTCTGTTTCTTTGCCACCCGGGAATCGCTGGCTGTCATTTCTGTAAGAGCAAGCAAGTGCAAACATGTCTTTCTCTGCTCTTTCAGAAAAACGGCCTCGTTGGCATTCATATATAGCAAATGGCCATAACTGCCTGCCTGCCTGTCTGTCTATCTTCTATCTCTGTTTATCTCTGTTTATCTCTATTTATCTTTATCTACCTATCTATCTATCTATCCGAAAGAAAGAAAGAAAGAAAGAAAGAAAGAAAGAAAGAAAGAAAGAAAGAAAGAAAGAAAGAAAGAAAGAAAGGTAGCAAAGCTGACACTGAATAACCAAACTTAACTGCAGTCAAAAATCAAAATTATTTTTTCTGCCTTAGAAAATGTGGGGCAGTTCTTACCAGGAAAATAAAGAGTTGTCTGAACTTTCCTCATTCTTCAAAGGTAACAGCCCTTTTGTCTAAGGCTGGCATGCACGGACTGGAAATCAGGAACCGTTTCGTGCTAACACAAACCCATCATACTCCTATGGTGGAAAAAGGTCCGTCTGGGATTTGTCATTCTCCTGCAATATTCCTGACACTGTTTTGGGTTAGTAGCGAGCAAATACAAAAAGAGATCTCTTTTAAAAGATTATTCTCACTGCAGCTCCATACAATATATCTTTTTCTTTCTCCGTCCCCCCCGAAATCTACTAGTTATGATAGTTTTGCAGGGTTGGAAACAGACTGTCCCTAGATTCCAGCTATTGGGGACCATGAGTTGCACTCATTTCTTTCAGTAAGTTTTACTGCAGTGTGTGAATGCAGCCAATATGCTTTATAAACCTTATGGCACAGTAACACAAATCCGAGGGCTGCATTGCACTTTGTGAAGCCTGTTGAGGAAGGGTGGGCAAGCTACAGTGCCTTTACGACCTGTGGACTTCAACTCCCAGAATTACTGAGCCATATGGCTGGCTCAGGAATGCTGTTAGTTGAAGGCCACAGGTCATAAAGGGGTCATGGTTGCCCACCCCTGCTGTTGAGCATTAGGGCTTGGGGAGGGTGGGGTTTCAGAGTTTTTTTTAAAATTGAAATTAGATGAGCATCTACAAGGAATTTTTTTTTTCTCCTTCTGGCTGACCATGTCAGATTCTTAGTGACTGCATGGAGAAGCCCTGGCAGTTTTCTTGACAAAGTTTCTCAGAAATAGTTTGCCTTTGCCTCCATCTTAGGGCTGAGGGATGAACAGGCACTCATTTTCTCCTTAAACCCCACCCCCCAAACTATAGGAGACTCTTCCACTCTGTGAGAGGCATCTCTAGGGGCCCTAAAGGCCATATTTTCATACCTAGTTTATTGCTTAATATTGTGAATAAATACAATCACCGTGACTGATTCAAGAAACCATGGTTAAACAAATCAAGGATTAACACATGAGAACATTTAGCCCTGTGGGTTTCCAGAAGTGATTGATTGATCGTTGAATCCAAGTTTAGATAGATATTTGTTCTGGTCCTACAAATATTAACTTTAATATTGATTAGTATAAAGTAATATATTAAAAAACACTCCAAATTCCATTTGTTGCTGCAACCCTTGCTTTTTCTTCAGCTCTTACTTTCCCTTCACTTGCCCCCCTCACCCCCCTCCTTGCCACAATGGCTGAGCTTGTTCTTAATGTGTGTCCTTTATATACATACACTTCAGTCCCCACCACTGAAAGATTGCTAATCCCAATGGGTAAGAGAGCTCTGTTTATGTAGATCTGCATGCAAGGATCAGAAATGAAATATTTTTTATTTTAATTTATTCTGGGCTTGGGAAGCTAAGCCAGCACTTAAAGTGCTAATTAATAGAGTATATTGATGAAAAAAAATATGCTTGGTGAACAGTAAGCGGCTATTTTGCTTTTAGTAAATGCAGCCCATTTAATGCTCTGGATGTTTTGATAATATTAATGAGGCATTAAAAGAGGTGAGTGTGGGCTTTGTAAGAGATATATCATGAGCATTTATTTGTCCATTGCTCTCCAATCTGCTGTTATCTGCAAAATATGTCATGTAATTGTATTTTAAGCTTCCTGCTGAAAAGTCTTTGTGAAACCTATTTTTTTCACTGTAATGAGGTTTGTCACAAAAAAAATAATAATAATGCTGCTAACATGGAAGAAAATTATTACTGCTGTGTGTGTATGTCCTTATAGTAATGTGTCAAAGTTGCTGATCCAAAAGGAAACCCACTGTACTTTTGCATTCTTTGCAGAGTATGATAAGTTATTTCGTTAATTATTGTGAAAAGTAAAGGACAGAAAAAAATCCTCCTTTAAACTTTACAGCTAACATGATGACAGTCCCCTAAAATAATGAATTAATTTGTGTGGAAAAGTTCTGCATGATTAAACTAAACTAGGATTGGTCAAGAAACAATTATAACACTTTTATGAATTAAAATTTATCACATTAAATTAATGCAACTGTAAACTTTATAAAATAAATCTGTTTCATTGGGAACAAACAAAAAGCAAAATCAGATTTAAAACCACATTTTTAAAATGAAAAGATGAGTTTGCTTACTTTCACATAATTCCTAAAAGCTGGAATTCATTTTGAGACAACAAAACATATTGCTTGTTCCATATTTAATATTTTTCCTCATTCATTTGTTCAATATGTCAGCAACTGCAAGACCTGAAAGACTATGTTTGGGACAAACTGTAGAGAAAAACTCTCTTTATGGTTGTTAGGTGTAGACACAATTTGAAGCACATCATCAATCACAGAAAATCCTGATTAAATAAGATTACAGCAAGAGTATTCATTGTCTTTGTATTTAGTTTTTTTGTGCTAATGAGTACTGATCAAAATTCAAGGAGAGACATCAGGATTTTTTTTTCCCCCAAGGAAGCATCAGAAGATACATTTATCAATTGTTCCTCCACAATAGTATGGAATGTATCAGCTGTAATCAAGCACTGAATAGATTCCCTAAGTTCATTATCATTATACTATTACAGATGGTCAAAAACTATGGATATGTTATTATATGTTTTACTGCCAGAAATGGCCAGACACAGAGATATTTATAAGAGAATCCAGATCTAGTTGATGGTGATCCGTATATATGTAGAAGGATAATAGCTTGTCACATGAATGCCTGGTGTAGTGGTTATGCTATTTAGAATTCAGGTTTGCCCATTTTAATTGTGTTAAAAACTCTGTGCACAAAATATATTACATTTAAAAGCTAATTATATATGTTTATATACATTGTAACAGAACAGTGATATACAACTTTTAAAAGTTTTATAAATTAGATATGTAAGTATCAATATTTCAAAATAATGTCTACAATAATTTAAAGAACACATCCCTCTTGAATGTTCATAGTAATCTTGTGCCTCTGCTAGCCAAAGCTTAATAATATTCCATTTGTAAACTTAGCAGTACTCCAAAGTTGAAGCTTGATCACCATGCCGGAGCAAAATTTTACAAATTCTTATGGTATTCCTCTAGTTTATTTATGGCCTGATGGAGATCACAGCTCATAGTTTAAGAACCCCTGTTTTATGGAACAAGGTAGCTTCTCATTTGGTTTTATCTCCCTGCATAGGAAAAATATCTTGGGATATGTGTGTGGGTATTGATGTATGTGTAAATCTTCAAATAGACATGATGATAAATTTTATGTATCATTGATGGGAGATGATTGAATTAGCTCATTTCAGTGAAAGTTTATCACACATCACTCTATCAATCAAGAATAAGGAGAACCTCATCTTTTCACTCTTGGTCACACTAACTTGGGTGACTGAAAAATGTTGCTCAGCAACAATTGGACTGCTACAGGCTTCCCATCTCTTATCCACCATCTTTACATAAAATGCTATGTAGAGTGAATACATGGCATGGGAGTCAGCATTATGCCCACTGACCCTACATACCCTCAGTAAAGTGCAGCTACCTGATTATAAATATATATTAAGCCTATGCAAACTCAATGCTTCTTATGAATTTTGGTATATTTGGAATATATTAAGAGCAGAGCCACTCTGATCTCAGACTTTAACCCTATGGATTCCATGACATCTCTCTCTAATGAGAGAGGTTAGGGAGAAAACAGATTTAGCAATTACCTTGAAGTCTTAGGAAGAATAGGAGAATAAAAATGCAAAATGAATAAATAAATTTCCTGCAATACATTGGCTAATATGACAATCTCTCCACACTGTTTCCTTTTTGGAAAGTTAAAATATGATAGCTTCCATTTTACAGGAAAGAGGGGGGAAAATTAAGAAGACGACACAAGGAACTGGTAATAATAGCGATTTTTGACAGAAAATTCTTGAATAGCTCAGAAAGGATACTGATGACAAAATGTTAAGCTGTATCACTAGAGTTGTTCCAGAGAAGAGTACAGCTAAATCAGTACTCTGAATTTTATAGTTCTTCCACAAAGATATTTATTGTTAATTGCAGGCTTCTGCTGTCATTGATCTGCCTCCTCTGGCATTATCATTTGCAATAAAAGTAATCCTTTTTTAGTCAGGTACTACAGAGATGACAAATTGCAGTGCAGGCTTTTTGCAAATCATTTTTTATTTATCCTGTAGAAAACTGAATAGCTCAGAGAGATGAGAAGAGCATTAAGCAGGAAGTACGCAATTAAATATGAAAAGGGAATTCTTCATTTGGCTTACCATGGTTTTCTTTAATGCCGTTTTTGCTGCAGATCAAGTACTTGATACAGGCCAGGATTTACACATGACCTAGGTTTCTTCATTGTTAGTTCACTTTAGGATTTCTCCTAGCTTGCCAAGCAAGATAAGGTCCAGCTCAATGGAACATGGAACAAAATGAAAGCTTAAAAAAAAATCACATCTCCATTTGGATCAAATTCAAGACCTAGGCTTCTGAACCCAACCCTTATGTTGTAAATCTTCACACATGATATGCAATTCAAAAGTTAAAAATCACACATTTATCCCAAACTTGCTTGGATAGAATAGAAGGTGATTAAAGCAGGTCAACTATTTTTATATGGAAATATTTTCATCATTGTGGAATGATTGGATGGGAGCTTGGCTGTGTTCAATCAGTTCATACCCCCACTGGCAGTTAAAAGGAAGAAACAGCTATGATCACACATTGTTCCTAGAAGCACAAAGCTGAAAACACCAGCCTGAAGATGACGAATGAAGACACTTCCAATTTTACGCGGGAGAAAACCCAAACAACCAAAGACCTACATACAAACACCCGCAAAAACCTCACACACACACACACACACAAACACACACACACACACACACACACACACATATATATTTAGAAACCCCCACTAAAATCCAAGACAAAGAACAAGAAAACGGCAAAGCCCTCCTCCCATACATAAAAGGCACCACAGACAGAATCAGTAAGATCCGCCATAAACACAACATCAAAACAGCATTCTGCACAAACAGAAAAATATCCACCATCCTTAGAAACCCCAAAGATAAAATTGAATTAGAAAATCAAGGAGTATACGAAATCCCATGCACCACTTGTCCCACCACATACATCGGACAAACCAACAGAAGAATAAGTGCACGCATTGAAGAACATAAGAACCCAGTCAAAAAAGAGGAACCAACATCTTCCCTGGTCCAACACCTTAAAGCCACAGGACATGAAATTGACTTTAAAAATACCAGAACCATTGCCAAAAGTGAACATTTTAATAACAGAATAATCAGAGAAGCCATCGTGATAGAAAAACGCCCACACAGCATGAACAAGCGAGATGATACCTCCTGCCTACCAGCCATTTGGAAACCCGCCCTTATTGACAAACGACTCCCTAACACAAAAAATGATACCAGACCCACACTCACAAAACCACACAGGATGTCACCACCACACATCCACGCAAAAAACAAACCCAAAGCCACACCGATGATGAGGCACGACCACAAACCAGAAGCCAGACCACAGCTGCATCATTAGCCACTTTAAACCCCTCCATTCCATACATGAAGCAAACTGACACCCTCCATGAAGAGCAGGCACGACCACGAACGCGAAGCCAAAAAATAGCAAGGCAGCCCAAAATCTTAAACCCCCCTGCAACTCAGACTAACCTGAGCACAACCAAACAGAACCCTCCTCCAGCCAATCAGAGCACAGCCAACCCCCCCAGCCAATCAGAGCACAGCCAACCCCCTAGCCAATCAGAGCACAGCCACGCCCCTAACCAATAAGAACACACCTCCACCGAATCAGAACACAGCCAAGCTCCCACCCAATCAGTTCATACCCCCACTGGCAGTTAAAAGGAAGAAACAGCTAAGACCACACATTGCTGCTCGAAGCACGAAGCTGAAAACACCAGCCTGAAGATGACGAATGGGACTTAGTCGAAACGTCGCCAAGACACTTCCAATTTTACGCAGAAGAAAACCCGAACAACCAAAGACCTACATATATATATATATACATACATACATACATACATGTATGTATGTATGTAGTGTATGTATATATACACACACACACATAAAATTAAATTATACATGCCATGAAGAATGTGCTCTTTCTTACAACCTTTGTGGTTTTTAAACTGCTACTCCGTGTACTCATGTGTAAAACACCTGTCCATAGATAATATTTTCCTAGACTGAGTGGATAGACTTCCCACTTTTGAAGATTACTTCTAGTTCAGGGATTCCCAACTCCCGGTCCGTGGACCAGTACCGGTCTGTAGCATGCCAGGAACCAGTCTGCAGAAACAACCAAAGCCACATCCATGGGATGCAGGCAGCACACAAAATCACACGCTCTCCAGTCCGCGGAAAAATCTTTCTCCAAGGAAACGGTCCCTGATGCCCAAAAGGTTGGGGACTTCTGTTCTAGTTGATGGATGGATGGATGGATGGATGGTTTCAAGAATTTAATATGCCATTATTCAGTCCAAGAAGAAGGTAGGTAACTGCTAAGTAAATGAATACATATTTTCAAAATAATCATATATTGCTCAGATGGGTACAGTTGAGATAACCATGCTGGATTCTGATGACCAACAGAGTGCTAAAATCAGGGTTTCCTCAAAGTTCTTATATACACTCTTATTTTGAGTGGTTTTTGCCTTTGCATTTCATCCCAGGAGAAAATCCCACATTCAGATGTTTCAAGCTGTTCTAAATAATTTCTCTGATTTCATCGAAACCTTCAGCATAATAAATACTTGGTCCTATATCTATATCCTTGGGTGCACAACCTTTCTTCATTGCATAGGCCAAATAGGATCAGTAATAATGGCAGTTCAGTTAATGCAAGCGTGCTTTTATGCTTGCTTATGGATTGGTTGAAAGCAAGTTAATGTGGTTGTCTGGCTGTGCCCTCCGTTGTTCACCACGCATTCCAACTGCACTTACTGTTTCCTAAAGATCATTTGCTGAGTGTCATATGCAATTAAGTCAAATGACCACAATATTGCACCTCAAACTAAAAAATGTAGGATGCTCACCACGAATGTAAGAGTTCTAATGGTCCTGTTAGTGCTGTAATATAATGTGGCTTCTGACTACTGCTGCCCGAAGAACGTTGAACTTGATTAATCATTAATCCATGCCTGGATAGTCTTAATCTGGAATTGCTGATCTGGGCATAGACTTCAGGGAGTGGCAAATATCTTGACTTGTGAGTTACATAAACATCCCAAACGATAAGAAACTTAGCTGACCAAAGGCAACATTTCCTAAGTCAGTTAATTCAGCCTCATTTTCTTGTGATTACAAGCAGCTTAACTGCTAGGTGATTAGCACTTTACCTTCTGT